AAAGGGTGAGTTCTTGTAATGTTTAGAAGGATTCTCAATTGTAATATCAATTACGTAATAAGAGTTTGACCATATTTTGAGTGTTGACCTTTTCTCTCTATTCTTTCAAGTGTTCTTACAAGATTTATATAAATCTGTCATTGTTGAATTGGAGCTTTAATGAAGATTGATTAAAGTGGGACTATCACTACATCCATGGCCACATTTTAAATTCTATAATGAAGAACATCTTCATCATAGACCAAGCTTTACATTTAAGATTGGATCGGTCTAGAAAAAATTGGATGTGTCTGCACTTGAAGAGAAATAAAAACATTAGAATTTCACAGTTGCAAAAGAAGGAAGCAAGATTTGAAGGCTATTTATTTTCTTAAATAGTAAACAAATGATACAAATTCTTATATACAAACTGATGGTTATAACAGTAAATAAATCATACAAATTCTTATATACAAATATAATAGTCATAGTAATGGTAGGCAAGGTGAGATTGATGAGATATTTGATGAAACAAGGTACGTCTATTCCTAAACCTGCAATACTACTTCAATTTCAGATGGTTTATCAAAGATAACCAAAAGTTAATGCACCAAACAAGTGACAGAAAGACCAAATTTATCGATGTCGGTTGGTAGCCATAATAAACAAATAACACACATCCATACCCCCAATGTTTAAGTTGCTTTGATGTTCTCCTACAACCTATGTTAGTATTCTTTTTGTTGCAACAAACACACAAGATATTACAAGTAAGGTCACGGGCCACCCTTTACGAAAGTTAAGGTACAACGTTCATGATAAAATTTTATAAAATTTGTTTTACCATATCTTGTATATTGCAAATCCTTCTTGTCACTAGTATGTCTTGTCTTGTCAAGGGCATTGAAAAAATCGAACTGCAAGAAATACAAAAATATTGTCAAGCACGTTTTAGATAATATGTCATCTAAATTCAAATAAACAATCAAAGACTCTTTAAGAAACATACATGTTGCCTTTTTAGACCTCCAAGTAAAATTGGACTATATTAGATGGAGCCTTAGAACATGATGCTAATTGGACATTTTTCTGAACTTCATATAAGTGGTGGCATGGTAATTAGATAATGGAGACCAAAATAGCAAAGCTCGTTACTTTTTTGTATAATTACAATGCTAACAAACAAATTAAGTTAAAAGATCCATGACCAAACCTCAATAGTTAAATCCACCTAAGCTTTGATGCGAAACCATAGAACTCATCATTTTGCACATGATAAGTGTCATTAGCAAAATATTGTTAATAGTTTATACACAAAAATAAATCAGGTATTAGTCCAACATATAAGTGTATAACTGCATCTATATACTGCTATGGAGATATAAAAGAACGTGCTTAGTATCCCGTAAATGATTGTTCAACATCATCCTTCCTTTCCTCGTCCGTCTTGAACTCAATAAGAAACTGAAACATATAGGCGATAAACATCAAGGAATATGGACACGCTTCAGAGTTAGAAAGATGGAATTGAAGAAAAATACAAACATGAAAAGACAAAATTAAAAGCCATTGAAGAAAAAACATTTTTAAAGAGAGAGAAAAAACCTTGAAAGAAACATAAATCAATCGAAAACACAATTAACTGGGAGGAGAAACAAACCATTACTCACAATTTTATCTAATACACTCACACTCACACTCACACTCACACTCACACTCACATAGGGTAACATAGAAAGGGGGAGGAGACACCTGGAAAAGAGTAGTCTCAGAGTTGAAATTTCAAGTGAATTGGTTGTCCCATGATCCAAACCAAAACCACACAGAACAGGATCTGTATAAAAAGAAATCCTATAAAGTTACGAAAGTCAGATCACAAAGACACAAACTTGCAGTTATTCTCAGCAATGATTGATCAATTAACTTGCAACGTATCTGATAATCATGAACAACTTCTTCAAAAAATTGTAGAAACTGCAGAAGAAGTTGATGGTGATTATATGAAATAATGAATCAAAACCGTCCTTTATATATGCAATCAAATTCACAAGTAGCTTTGAGCAATTTGGAAGCTTAACAGAAGATAAAAATTTACCCTTCTTCAACGATGATTAAAAAAGACATGTGCAGATCCTCTAGATATGAAACTAACTGAACATCGAATTAGACTTTCCAAACAACAAAGAGGAACAAACTCGATTGCAAGCTAGCAATATACATCAGAACTTAAAGGTTACCTTGATTAGTGAAGCAACAACCTTAAAAGTCATCTCAAGTCACTGCAGCTTCATCAAAGCAGTAAACCACAAAAAACAAGCTTCGAATTAAGAAACAAACAAGGATTTTACATATCAAAAGACCAAATAAAATAAAACAAAGAAGGGTAAGTCACATAAGAAACCTATTTCAATTTAAAAAAGAAAATGAAGATACAAACAGAGCCCAAGAAATCAAAACATACATCAAGAAGCAGAAATAGAGGCCAAACAAATATGAAGTTTATAGCCATCAATAGATAACATGCAAAGATGTAGTTTATAGCCATCAAGCCTAAATATGACAAAAGTTAATGGGTATATCTAGAAGTAACATGAACCCAATAGAGATAAGATCAAGGAAAATTACAAGAAGAATCGAAAAACCTAAGAAAACCAAATCTCATCGGTTCATATATAAAACCTTACCTAGTCAAACCAAACTAGATTCAAATATAATACCTTACCTGGTCAAAAACCAAATTGACCTAGAGATTCCATATATTCCTATTATCACGCCCATGATTGAAAGGGATCACTGGCCAATATATTTAACGTATAAAAAAACCACCAAAAGTCGATATGAAGAGAAATATCAACTAAAAAAATATAAGGGCAATTGTCATTTTCCATTATCGTCTAGATATTACGTAGACAACTCATCGGCTAACAGTTTTCCATTATCGTCTTGATATTATGTAGAAAACTCATAAGATAACGAACTCCTTGAAAAACTATCTTATTATTAATCTAACGTAGATTTTTATGACTTTTAAGCCCATGTTAATGACTATTGAAGTGGGTTGAGGACAGATAAGCTAGAAATCTTTTGCAAGAAATACTAAATCCTTTTGAGGCATTTCCTCAAACTCCTTATATGCACATTGGGGACATATTGAAGAAAGCAAGAAAACATGAAATCTAAGATATAATTTTCTATTCTTCAACAAAACTTAGATGCAAATAATCTACGGAACAAAGTAGAAAACTAAACCTATAATTCATTGAAGATCTTTCACAAGAAATTGTTCAAGAAACATACATAGTGATGCAAAGCAGATGTATAAGTCAAGAACAAAAGATGTGCAAGTCATCTTTGATCAAAAACAAATAAGATGATTACTAAAAACAGTTCCAAAAAAGAATGTCATGTTGGAGATTTGATTACCTGATATGAGAAAATCTCTTGAGATATAGCGATAAGTAAACAAAATCCAGCAATGAAAAATCGAGATGAAGAACACATAAGAAGATTGATGGAGACAAGGAGAGAACCATAATCGTATGAGAGGAGATGGAGAATCGATTTAGGAGATGAAAATGAAAGTAAGAATTGAACAAATCTAACAGTATAATTATATGGTTTTCCACCACGAATCATCAATTGGAGCTTGAATCGGCATTATTGGGAATCCAATTGGAGTGTATTGAGAGGGATGAGAGCGTGGGAAGTTATTGGGAATCCAAATCCTGAATTGATGAGTTGTACAGATTTAAAAATGTTGTACTTAGGTTTATTGATTGTTTTTAAGGCTTTTAGATTTCATGCATAAAAAAAGGGTACTTTGTGCATATAAGTTTGTTTTTAAGACTTTTAAGATTTCATGCATAAAAAAATTGTACTTTATGCATATAATATTGTTTTTAAGACTTTTTTGAAATCTGCTTAATTAGTATAGATAAAAAATTATAATATATCAATTAAAATTCAATAATATTTCAATCAAACTAATATAAATATATATTAAATAAACTAGAAGGGTACTCGTACAATGTAGCGAGATATATCTACATTTTAATGTTTCATTTTATTCTGTCTCTGTACATGTTATAATACGGTTTTTATGTGATTTTGAGAAATTGATAATGTTTTTATTTTTGAATAAAATATAAATTTGAAGATATTATAAAAAATAAATATATCAATATTAGTATCAAATTAACTATTTAAAATTTTTGTTTTTTATGTAATTTTTTTAATTCAAATATTTATTATAATTTAATTAGATTTAAAAACGAAGTAATATATTTTTGATAATAATATAATTTTTTATATAATTAAGTGTTCTGTTACAACTCAATGATTATCCTAATTGTATTTTAAATTTTTTTATTTTTTTAAATGAAATGTTTATCTTGTATTTGACTATGTTTATCTGCAGTAAGTTACACGAATTCAAACATGAAGCTTTAATAAATTGTACTTACATATAGTTTATTTGTAATCTTGACTTTAAGTAATATGAATCAATAAACAATATTTCAAGCATAAAAAATGAGTTTTAAGAATTTTTGTCAAATGCTTTATAATATAGTATAGTATAGATAAAAACTAACAAAGAAAACAAATAAATATTTATTTAATTTAGAAAAAAAAATCGTGGGTCTAGATTTGGATTTCCTATTTAGGGGCTGTTTGGCAGTTGCTGAATATTTTAGTGCATGATGATTAAGTGGTCAGAATGATTAAGAGACTATGTATGATTTAGTGTCAGATAGAAAAAGATTGTTCGGAAAATGTTCTGAATCAACAGTCTGAATGACATAAAATTGTCATTTTACCCCCAGTCTTGTGTTTAATGAAAATTAACGTTTGACAACAATTCTGAAGAAAATTTCTAAATGAAAATAGAAAATAATTAATGGTTCAAGCCAATACATAATAGTATATCAATCCAAACAAGCATGACAATGTTTGTTCAAGTTTTGGCATAACAAAACATCACATGAAACACAACTTCAAACCCAATATTTTGAGTACAACATCTAATTTGAAGCATTTAACACCAGTTGATTTGCAATCTCATTACGTAAATTAGTCATGTACTCACTGTCTTGAGGACCCCAAGGTGTTGCATCTATCTCTTCTTCCTCACCTCCGTCAATTTGTTCTTGTGCTTCATTAATTAACATGGGATTATTGTCGTAATCCATGAATAATTGATACTGCATGTTGCATCTTCTTATAAAGTTGTGGATCGCGAAGCAAGCAATTACAATGTTTCTTTGTATGCGAAAAGGATAAGGGGCCATTTGCTTCAAAATTGGGAATCTTGCTTTCAATACACCAAAAGCACGTTCGATAACATTTCTGAGTTGTGCGTGGGCATGATTGAATCTTTCTTCTTTGGTCAAGGCAAGTCGACGTCGAAAATCAGCTAGCAAATATCTTGTATTGCGATATGGAGTCAAAAATCTACGAGTGTTGGCATATGCAGCATCACAAAGATAATATTTTTCTACATTTAACATGTAAGAAAAAGTTATTGTTAAGTAAACTGTATAAAAAATAAATTATATTCAGTATTAAGTAAAAATTATAAATACTTAGTGTAGGAAATGGAAAGCCAGAAGTTGGGTCCAATGCAACTTCTCTTAAAACTCTAGCATCATGTGTTATGCCCTCCCATCCAGCCCAAACATAAGTGAATACCATATTAAAATCACAAATCGCTAAAACTTGTTGATAACATTCACCTCTTCCTTTGCCCCTATAACGAGCTTGTTGATCGACAGGCACACCTGCATGTATGGGAGTCTCATCTAACTCACCTATCGCCCCCTTTATTAAAAAAGTATAAACTATACGAAACTTTTTAACTACGTCTTGATTTTGTGAATTATATAAACGAAAACATACCAGAAACATTCTTCTAAGATTTCTTTGTCGTTTTGGCATGTTGGAGGTTTCTTCATTGGGCATTGGTCCTACAACTTCTCTAGCAAATTCAATCATTGCTCGTAGTACTTGACGAATATGTCTATGGATAGTTTCTGTTGAGTGTTGAAATCTTCTTTTAATCATTCTATAGCGTTCATTATGACCTATTATTGTTAAAAAAAATTGCCATCTTCTCTTTAACGATTGCATTCCTACTATTTTGCAACAAATTCTTTTGTTTAAAATGGTTGCATAGTAGTATATAAGCATCACGAGAAAGACACATTAACTCAAGACATTTCGTATTTGAGCCATTTCATAGGTCTAGAGTATACGCATGTCCGGACAATGATGAAGTGTTATCTCTTATCCTTTTGATTCTTGATGTAGCTTTTCGTTTCAAATACAACAAAAAAAGTAACAAAAGCAACAATTCTTCCTCAACATTCATAGAGAACCTTGCAAATAAAAATAATTACAAAACATGACTGAAGGTTAATTTGCACGCTCAAAGAAAAATTTCCATTCAAAAGTTAACATCATTCAAAAGTTGCATCATTCAAAAGTATGTCCAATAGTTATGTCATCCAAAAGTCATGTGTTTAAAAGCAAAACATCATTCAAAAGCTAGCATCATATCAAAATACAATTTTCAAAAGCATAATATGTTACGACTACATGATCCTGTACTTTTGTCCTATCATTCTAACCCAACCCTCACAACCTTCCGGCTTCAAACACAACCATACTTTCCTATAATCGGCACTCTCACTGAAGATAAAAGTAGCTATGTGGTATAACGGATGATCTGTTCCCCATCCAAGTTCATCCAACTTTGCCAAGCAAGCAGGCACATCGTTCGAATATTTTTCTATAATTGCTTTCACAGCCTTAGATATATCTTCTTCAACTTGTGAGTTACTTGATTGTTTACCTTTTCGCTTTTTACTTGCTTGTGTACTTGGACGAGAATCACATTCTTGTCCTAAAGTTGGTGTTAGGATTTGTTAAGTATTAGGAACTACCTCAACATCTTTACTCGAGTGATCAAAAAGTGGGTCGGAAATGTCGGGAATACTAGAATGTGGTCCATGACTTTCAGTTCCTCTTACTTGAACTCCATCAAACAGTTGAACACAAAGATCGGGAAAAAGTAGTCCTGTACTCCTAATTGGTTCTACATATTTGCTTCTCTGTTTTAAAAAGGATTATATAAATAAAATTACGAAGATACCAAATGCAAACTGATATAAAATTAAAAAGATACCACAATTTCTATTTGCCATTCTTCATCAGTTAGATTAAACGTGTTGGTTGTTGGGTCATACACGTTGCCCGTTTTGTTTTTCAGTCTCGTCCATACATTGTATTTTTCTTTCAAATAATCATAGTGGTTTTTCATTTGTTTTTGATATGCGATGAAGTTATGTTTGTTTTTAAGCGTCTTTGCAACATTCTTCCATGAACACGACTTAAGATTGGTGCCTTCCCGTCCATGTGTAATGACCTCATGTATACATGCTTCAAGAAACGTTCGCACCACACTCTTTTTTCCAGTTTATTCTACGTCTTTTTGGTTGTGAACCCTCACCAACAATGTCTATACCTTACAAATAACGACATTTAGCAAATCAAGATTGAAAAGCATAGAACAAATATTTTATAATTCCATATCCAAAACATTCACATTGAACTAGATTATACATAAAAAAACAAGATGTTGCTTTTTGCTGTGCAAACTTGGTAGATAGGAAGTCCACTACCAGGAAGGATTATCTTATGTTTCCCAAGGCCAAGGACATATGTTCATATTTAGGTAGGTTTTTGCCATGTCACCATACAACACTCATAACTATAACCCCACCATACAACACTCATAAGTATAACCCCATTCTTAGTTTTACATTTCCAATAATAAAGCTTGGTAAAAGGAGCACCCACATGGCCTCAAATGACAAATTCTTAACCCTGCTAACAGTTGTAGGCTTGTAGCCAACAAGTGTTTGCTTCACCAGAAAGTCTATACCAAGAATGAAAAATTTATGGAAAATTTTAAGAATGAAAACTATCATATTATTCTTCCCCTTCTGCTTTGCTCTATGCAATGCAGTAAGTGTTCAAGGAAATAATTATGGAAGTATTAGTGTCATAAAATATTGTGTTTCATTTAGATTGTATTTACTCTAATGCTGAAAAATGTTGATCCATATGTGCTTCAACTAATAGCATACAATTTGACTGTTAAAGCTATTATCACATGACAAAACATATTTTTTTTCATCCTACAAGACTTTCTAGTCTTGCTAATGCAAAATTGTTTCATGTCATCTTTGAATATAATCCCAAAAAGTTGTAGTTTGTATATCACCCAAACAATGCAGGCACTCGGTTAGATGATGATATGTTCAGCTTGTCTAACTTCTTACAACTCAAATCATGGTTTTCACCGCCCAAAATTAATAAGATTTATACTGAAGTTGTAGTCAAGCTTATCTTGTCAGCAACTCAGCATTGCCTAAATTTTCTTGTGAAGTAATAATAATACCAACTGGATCCTTCCTGTGTTACTGCCTACTAAAATCAGTAACAGAGTTGCCTCAAATGACAAATTCTTAGGGTTGTTGTTTGCTTCACCCAGAAAGTCTACCAAGCTTATTCTACATCATTGAAATCAATATTAGTTCTAATAGAACCGGACCTCTTTAACCATAAAACATAAAAGCCAAGAACTATTTATAGTCCCCCATACATATACATCTCAATTTTTGCTCAAGTCCTATTTACTTCAGAACTATTGTTCCAAACTATTTACTTTAGAACAGATGTTTTCATGTTAAACCTAGTAAATCGTTTTCATGTTAAACCTAACTTTTACTGCAGAATAAAATCATTTAGGGTAAAAATAAACAAAAATCATGTGGTGTGAACGTTTATTGAAGCATGTATACATGAGGTCATTACACATGGACGGGAAGACACCAATCTTAAGCTGCGTTCATGGAAGAATGTTGCAGAGACGCTTAAAAACAAACATAACTTCATCACAAATAAAAAAACAAATGAAAAACCACTATGATTATTTGAAAGCAAAATACAATGTATGGACAAGAGTGAAAAACAAAACGGGCAATGTGTATGACCTAACAACCAATACGTTTAATCTAACTGATGAAGAATGTGTTAACAGTAATTCTATGTGATCAAGGGTTGACTGAGTTTGTTGGAGGTAAATGTTGGAGGCATCCTAATCATTAGGAGATGTGGTTAGTAGTAGAAGATGTGGCTAGTGGTAGCTAGTAAATTTCCTTTATTTTAGCTAGTTTGTTATTCCCAGTAGGAGTTTAAATACCATTGTTGCTGTTTTTTTTTTTTAAGTATTGTATCGCATTTTCAGTTGAGAAGTATTTTCAGTTGAGAAATAATGCTACTAGAAAATTCTTCCATAATACGTTTTCTTTTACGTCTCTTACTCTAAGTTTGTATTTGGGTATAGCAGATCCTAAGCTTTGATATCCAACACTTGGTATCAGAGCCCCGTTCATGCCAAAATACCTCCGGTTGCGAGAGATGTCTATCGTCACACAAGGGAGAGAAAACGGTGGAGTACCGATTTAGTGTCCGTCATTGACATTGACAAATTACACGACTTGGTCTATCATAATGGAGGCTATTTTGGATGCCCAAGGTTTATGGGAATCCATTGAACCACCTGTTGGTATGGCGGTTGATGAGAAAAAGAACAAGTCGGCAAATGCGTTCATCTTTCAGGCACTACTGGAGGATATTCTTCACCAAGTATCGAAGAAGAAGACTGCAAGGGAGGTCTGGGACTCCCTAAAAACTCGATATATTGGAGCAGAAAGGGTGCAAAAGGCAAGGATACATACACTTAAAAGTGAATTCGAGGCACTTCGTATGAAAGATGAAGAAACTATCGATGAATTCACCGGGAAATCGAGTGGGATGGTATCAATGTACAACAGCCTCGGGCCAACACTCGAAGACAGGGTTCTTGTCAGAAAGTTACTTGATTTAGTGTCGGATAAATTCCTGCAATTGGTGGCCTCCATAGAACAATATTCAGACGTGGATTCTATGCCTTTTGAGGAAGCCATTGGACGTCTCAAGGCGTATGAGGATAGATTGCGCCTTCGAGGTGGCAATGCTAATGGCGAAAGTAGTCTTCTACTTACCAAGACGGAGGGTCGAACAACTCAAAGGGCTGTTGGTTCAAGTTCCTTTTCAAGTGGAAGAGGACGGGGATCGGGTGATAAAGGTGGAGGACGAGGTGGTCGTGATAGAGGTCGTGGTAGAGGCGGTCGCGGTGGTTAAAATAGGCAGCGAGACATCGGTAATAACAATAGTAAAACAAGAGACAAGAAGCACATAAAGTGCTTCAACTGTGACCAATATGGTCACTTTGCATCCGAGTGTGGGGCACCAAAGAAGAAAGAAGATGAGGCCAACTTGACTCAAACACAAGAAGAGGATGTCGCGTTGATGTTAACAGTTTATGGTGAGCAAACTGAAACTTTGGTGCTGTTGAACGAGGATAAGGTATTTTCAGGGGAGGCCAAGTACAAGAGTTAATTCGGGAGCGATGAATGGTATCTTGATAACGGAGCGAGTAATCATATGACCGGGATATGTAGCTTGTTCGCTGATCTCGATACAAACATCATCGGGCAGGTGCGTTTTGGTGATGGCTCGAGAGTTCAGATCGCTGGAAAAGGAACAATCTTGTTGGAGTGCAAGAATGGTGAGCAACAAGTCATATCAGAAGTCTACTATATATCGGCTCTTCACAGCAGCATTCTTAGCCTTGGTTAGTTAACTGAGATTGGTTACAAGGTTGAACTTGAGATGGTGGATGAATATCTCAGACTTTATGATGAATCTGGTCGTTTATATTGAAGGTACAACGCTCCAAAAACCGGTTATACAAAATCGTTCTTCAAACAACACAACCTGTATGTTTGCTGACGAACTTAGACGACGAGGCTTGGGTATGGCATGCTAGATTGGGACACGTAAACTTTCGTGTCATCAAATGGATGGTACGGAAGGACTTAGTACGGGGTGTACCGATAATAAAGCATATGGGACAAGTATGTGAAAGATGCATGGTCGCGAAGCAAATGAGACAGACATTTCCTAAAGAGTCCCTTTGGCGAGCAAGTAAGCCCCTTGAACTCATTCATGCAGACTTGTGTGGTCTTATTAATCCATCTACCGTTGCAGGTAATCGATATTTCATGCTATTAGTTGATGATTATACCCGATACATGTGGGTTTTTATAATCAAATCGAAGGATGAGGCCTTCGTTACTTTCAAACGGTTTAAATTTCAAGTAGAAAAGGAAAAGTCATTCAAGGTAAAGGGGTTACGGACGGAACGGGGCGAGGAATTTACTTCCCATGAATTTGCTAGCTTTTGTAGTGCAGAAGGCATAAAGAGGCAATTGACAGCCCCTTACTCACCCCAGCAAAATGGCGTGGCAGAACGCCATAATTGTAGTATTCTCGAGACCACCAAGATCTCTGTTGAAAACAATGCAAGTACTAGATACATTGTGGGGTGAAGTTGTTCGGCATGCTGTCTATATTCTAAATCGAATTCTGACCAAAGCGATGAAGGGAATGACTCTGCATGAAGCCATGAACAAAAGTAAACCAACTCTTCATCATCTGAAGGTGTTTGGGTGTGTTGGATTCGTAAAGAAGCCTGTAAATCACACCACAAAGCTCAGCAATTAGAGTACAACCATGGTATACTTGGAATTTGAACCGGGAAGCAAAACGTATTGTATGTTCAATTCGAAAGAAAATAAGGCGGTTGTAGCTTGGGATGTTGTTTTTGATGAAAAAAAACAATGGGATTGGACCTTTGTCCAACATGGCGAATCCACATTGAAAGAGCCATGCATTGGTGGTTATGTTAATCAAGGCCTCAATGAGCAAGTCCAAGAAGAGAATGCAACCAGTAATGAAGATGAAAATCCTTCTCCCACAAACAATGTAAGCCTACCTCAGACTCCAGAACCTTCCTCACCACTCACAAGTTATCAAACAGGTGAGTCATGAAGTGGAAATCCCTCTATAGCAACTGGACCGGTTTCTACAATACAACCGAAACTAAATGTAAGTCCCTCGGCGTATGATTGCACACCTGTTCGGGGGTTTCGATTGTTATCTAACATTTATGCTAAAGCACAATTGACAGAAGTTACAAGATGAGTTGATGCTTGCGGGGGATGAACCTACAACCTATGAAGATGTTGCAGGTGAACAATCCTGGCGTGAGGCAATGAAAACGGAGATGGGGTCAATCGACAAGAACCAAACATGACAGCTTATGACTCTCCCTTCAGGTCTCAAACCAATTGGTCTCAAATGGGTTTTAAAACAAAGAGAGATGCAGAAGGCAATGTCGTGAAGCAAGAGGCGCGTTTGGTGGCAAAGGGATATGTTCAAAGGCAGGGAGTAGATTTTGAAGACGCATTTGCTCTGGTGGCCCGAATTGAAACCATTCAACTACTGTTGGCTTTGGCAGCAATGAAAGGTTGGACTGTTCATCATTTAGATATAAAGTCGGCTTTCTTGAATGGGCAATTACGGGAACAAGTATACTGCTCGTCGGTTTATTCAACTTTAGATTTCAACACAAAAATAGAACTCAAGTATACACCTTTAACTACTGTCGTCTCGTAACAAGTAATAATGGTAAAGTACCAAATTTCATTCCCACAGAGATAGCTTTGCAAAGTTATTCAAAAGTACAGTCCATAAAAACTAATTTCAAATGGCGAAACGAGGGATTTGATTTATCTAAAATTGGGAGGTTTGATTGGCAACTAAGGAAATATCAGTCTTAAAAAGAAGCATAGGATGCAAAGGTTGATTAAGACACTAAACAAATGATTCAGCAAAAAGGTGACATAACAATCCTGTCACAATTATCTAAAATCAATAAATGATTTTACATAACTGTCACAGTATCAACTATCGGGTCAAACGGCCTCCCAAGAGTACACAACGGTTAACGTGCTATCGATACGATATCATTTATGTTAGACGTCGTGAATCTTAGCACAACACAGTGTTACCATCCTACACCGTAGGAGTATAACATTTGTCAAATACTAAAGCTATTTATAGTCTTCTCCTATTACCTCAGGTTTTCTTATTTATGTTAACTCTAAAAGTCAATGCATTTTCATACACAAAATCAGTTGTCAATTAATTTTAATGTGATCTTCAATTAAATATTAATCACCTGAAACAAATAGTAGAGTATAATGCTAATAAGACACCTTTGTACTTTCACAGCGGCTTTGGTCTTAATTTTCCCTTACACCCCAAGCTAAGGCTTTTAGCCCATCATCGCTCGGTTTCTTCTCGCGAAGGATGTAAAGATTGAAAAATAAATAACTGATGCGTAAAAGTAAATTGCAGAAATTAAATTGCAAGAAATTAAAATACTGGAATGTAAAGTACTGGAAAGTAAATTACAGAAATATAAATGACTGAAAGTAAATTACTAGAAATAAAATGCAGAAAAGTAAATTGCAGTAAAGTAAAGTGCAGAAATTAAAAGACTGAAAAGTAAAATACAGAAATGTAGAAGACTGAAATTAAACTACTAAGAGATAAATATTAATAATTAAAATTATTCTAAGACATAAAGTAGACACTTGTATACTAAGATGTGACCCTTACAAGACAAATGAAAGCTTAAAGAAAGGAAGACTTGGAGAAACTTGCACTCCAAGTCACGAAACTTGCAAAACAAGTTTCGTTTCTAAAAGTGAAGAGTTACTTGCAAACAGAATATTTAGCCTATGGAAATTAATCGTGAGCCACAAAGGATGAAATCCAATGTAAAGCAACAGAAATCGATTAATTGTAACTTGTAACGAAAGTCATAAAGCGTTTATAACTCGAAAGTAAGAACATAAATGAGATGCAGATTAAACATGAACACTTGAATTAAAACTTGAGAATGTAATCGCAACTTCACTTCACAAATTCGGTTCTTGGTTGGAAGCAAAAAAAACCTAAAGCTAAAATATTTAGAGAGTAATTGTTTTTAACCGAAAGGTTGTGTGTGTATAGGTAAATAAAACCAAGCCTTAAGCACCTATTTATAGAGAGAATGGAGCTTGCACAAGGGGGTTAACTAATAGGACAAAAGAGGTCTTCAAAAACGGGCTTTGACTAGGACCAAGGCCTTAGATCCAACAGCTTCAAGGGGCAACCCAAGGAAATTTGGCCCAGACAAAAAGTGCAGCTCACTGATCGGTGCAATAGGACTCTGCCAAACATACTCCTACAGGACTGCTGCAGGACTTGTCTCAAAAATATAAAAAATCTGCATAAACAGAGAATTAACATTAGATATGATACAATACTACTGTTATATATATATATATATATAGATATAAAGACGACATAAAAAGACTCAATTAAAACACTATTGGGCAAATAAAACAAGTGAAAATGATTAAGAAAATGATGTAAGAAGGTTAATAAATTAACACTTATCATATACGTAGCTCAACCAGATGGGTTCGTGGTGAAAGGAAAGGAACACATGGTGTATCGACTTCATAAAGCTCTATACGGCTTACGCCAAGCTCCTCGAGCTTGGAATACTCGTCTTGACAGAGAACTTAAAGAATTGGGTTTTCTAAATTACCCACATGAGCAAGCCGTGTATCAATTTAATAACTCCAAATTTATTTTGTTGGTTGGTGTATATGTAGATGACTTGATTGTTACAAGTTCAAGTGAAGAACAAAGTGCAACTTTTAAAGAGAAAATGAAGCAGCTTTTTGAGATGAGTGACTTGGGTCACTTAACATATTATTTGGGGATCGAAGTCCGACAAACGAAAACGGGAATCGAATTAAAGCAAGCTGGGTATGCAAAGAAAATATTGCAATCAGCAGGCATGCTTGACTGCAATTCTACGAAGACTCCCATAGAACCAAAGTTCAGTTTGTCAAAGGATGCAGACGGAGTTCCGGTGAACGCTACAGATTATCGTCGCCTCATCAGGTGTTTACGTTACCTGATTTATACGAGACCTGACCTCGCTTACTCAGTCGGGGTTGTCAGTAGATACATGAATACGCCAAAAGAGAGTCACCTGAAAGCGGTGAAACAGATTCTACGTTATGTGAAAGGTACTTTGCAGCTTGGTCTAATTTATCAAAGAGGTGGCGATGGGAAGCTAAGTAGGTACAGTGACAGTAGTCACAACATGGATCGGGATGATGGGAAAGGCACAACAAGAACTATGTTCTACTTCTCAAACAACCCGATTAGCTGGCCGTCACAAAAGCAACATACGGTGGCCCTATCTTTTTGTGAAGCTGAGTTCATGGCAGCAACGGCGGCGGCGTGCCAAACTGTGTGGTTGAAAAATCTGCTCAAGGACCTAACCGGTTGGGAAAGCTCAAGTGTTAGGTTGTATGTCGATAACAATCAGCAATCGCCTTAATGAAAAACCTGGTATTTCATGGACGCAGCAAGCACATCAATACTAAGTATCATTTCATTAGAGAATGTGTCGAGCGGAAGCTAATCATTGTGGAGCATGTTAGCGGAGAGGAGCAATTGGCTGACATTTTGACCAAGGCACTGCATCGGGTCAAATTCGCTGAAATGAGAAGCTTGTTAGGAATGATGACGATGGAAGATTAGAATTAGGGGGGAGAATGTTAACGGTAATTCTATGTGGTCAAGGGTTGACTGAGTTTGTGGGAGGTAAACGTTGGAGGCATCCTGATCATTAGGAGATGTGGCTAGTGGTAGAAGATGTGGCTAGTGGTAGCTAGTAAATTTCCTTTATTTTAGCTAGTTTGTCATTCCCAATAGGAGTTTAAATATCATTGTTGCTATTTTTTTAAAGTATTGTATCGTATTTTCAGTTGAGAAATAACGCTACCAGAAAATTCTTCCATAATATGTTTTCTTTTACTTCTCTTACTCTGAGTTTGTATTTGGGTATAGCAGATCCTAAGCTTTGATATCCTACAGAATGGCCCACGAAGGACTGCCAGTGATATACTGGAGGAAGGTGAAATAGAAATTGAGGTATCTTTATAATTTTTTATCAGTTTGCATTTAGTATCTTCGTAATTTTATTTATATAATCCTTTTTAAAACAAAGAAGCAAATATGTAGAACCAATCAGGAGTACATGACTGCTTTTTCCCGATCGTTGTGTTCAACTGTTTGATGGAGTTCAAGTAACAGGAACTGAAAGTCATGTGCCACATTCTAGTATTCCCGACATTTCTAACCCACTTCTGATCACTCGAGTGAAGATGTCGAGGTAGTTCCTAATACTCAACAAATCCCGACCCCAACTTTAGGACAAGAGTGTGATTCTCGTCCAAGTATACAAGCAAGTAAAAAGCGAAAAGGTAAACAATCAAGTAACTCACAAGTTGAAGAAGATATTTCTAAGGCTGTGAAAGCAATTATGGAAAAATATTCGAACGATGTGCCTGCTTGCTTGGCAAAGTTGGATGAACTTGGATGGGGAACAGATCACCCGTTGTACCACGTAGCTACTTTTATCTTCAGTGAGAGTGCCAAATATAGGAAAGTATGGTTCTGTTTGAAGCCAGAAGGTTGTGAGGGTTGGGTTAGAATGATAGGACAAAAGTACAGGATCGTGTAGTCGGAACATATTATGCTTTTGAACATTGTATTGTGATATGATGCTAGCTTTTGAATGATGTTTTGCTTTTGAACACATGACTTTTGGATGACATAACTATTGGACATGCTTTTGGATGATGCAACTTTTGAATGAAAATTTTTCTTTGAGCGTGCAAATTAACCTTCAATCATGTTTTTGTAATTATTTTTATTTGCAAGGTTCTCTATGGATGTTGAGGAAGAATTGTTGCTTTTGTTACTTTTTTGGTTGTATTTGAAACGAAAAGCTACATCAAGAATCAAAAGGATAAGAGATAACACTTCATCGTTGTCCGGACATGCGTATACTCTAGAACTATTAAATGGCTCAAATACGCAATGTCTTAAGTTGATGTGTCTTTATCGTGATGCTTATATACTACTATGCAACCATTTTAAATAAAAGAATTGGTTGCAAAATAGTAGGAATGCAATCGTTGAGGAAAAGATGACAATTTTTTTTAACAATTATAGGTCACAATGAACACTATAGAATGATTAAAAGAAGATTTCAACACTCAACAGAAACTATCCATAGACATTTTCGTCAAGTACTATGAGCAATGATGGAATTTGCTAGAGAAGTTGTAGGACCAATGCCCAATGAAGAAACCTCCAACATGTCAAAACGACAAAGAAATCTTAGAAGAATATTTCCGGTATGTTTTCATTTATATAATTTGCAAAATCAAGATGTAGTTAAAAAGTTTCTTATAGTTTATACTTTTTTAATAAAGGGGGCGATATGTGCGTTAGATGAGACTCTCATACATGCAGTTGTGCTTGTCGATCAACAAGCTCGTTATAGGGGCAGAGGAAGAGGTGAATGTTATCAAAACGTTTTAGCGATTTGTGATTTTAATATGGTATTCACTTATGTTTGGACTGGATGGGAGGGCATATCACATGATGCTAGAGTTTTAAGAGAAGTTGCATTGGACCCAACTTCTGGCTTTCCATTTCCTACACCAGGTATTTAGAATTTTTACTTAATACTGAATATAGTTTATTTTTTATACAATTTACTTAACAATAACTTTTTCTTACATGTTAAATGTAGAAAAATATTATCTTTGTGATACTGCATATGCCAACACTCGTGAATTTTTGACTCCATATCGCAATACAAGATATTGGCTAGCTGATTTTCGACGTCGACGTGCCTTGACCAAAGAAAAAGATTCAATCATGCCCACGCACAACTCATAAATGTTATCGAACGTGCTCTTGGTGTATTGAAAGCAAGATTCCCAATTTTGAAGCAAATAACCCCTTATCCTTTTCGCATACAAAGAAACATTGTAATTGCTTGCTTCGCGATCCACAACTTTATAAAAAGATGCAACATGCAAGATCAATTATTCATGGATTACGACAATAATCCCATGTTAATTAATGAAGCACAAGAACAAATTGACGGAGGTGAGGAAGAAGAGATGGATGCAACACCTTTGGGTCCTCAAGACAGTGAGTACATGATTAATTTACGTAATAAGATTGCAAATCAATTGGTGTTAAATGCTTTAAATTAGATGTTGTACTCAAAATATTGAGTTTGAAGTTGTGTTTCATGTGATGTTTTGTTATGCCAAAACTTGAACAAACATTTTCATGCTTGTTTTGATTGATATACTATTATGTATTGGCTTGAACAATTAATTATTTTATATTTTCATTTAGAAATTTTTCTTCAGAACTGTTGTCAAACGTTAATTTTCATTAAACACATGACTGAGGATAAATTGGTAATTTTATGTCATTCAGACTGTTGATTCAGAACAGTTTCCGAACAATCTTTTTCTATCTGACACTAAATCATACAGAGTCTCTTAATCATTCTGGCCACTTAATCATCCTGCACTAAACCATTCAGTAACTGCCAAACAGCCCCGGAGTGGTGATGGAGCGAATAAGACCTTATTGAACCATTCAGATGTTTTAAAATGCAAGCCAAACAACCCATTGTCTGACCGATTCAGACAAATATATCTGAATGGAATCAATAAGTGGTAAACAAACAGCCCCTTACTTCTTGGTTAAAAAAAATTAAAACAAAATCATATAATTATTTAATTTGGATAATCACAATAAAATCCCATATTAATATAAATAATTAACTTTTAACATAATCTTAAAATACTCACATTTATACTATATTATAAAAATTTGACAAAAACTCTTAAAACCTATTTTTTATGAATGAAGTACTGTTTACTGATGTATATTACTTAAAATTCAAAATTATAAGTAAATTGTGCGTAAATATAACTTATTAAAGCTTTATGTTTGAATTCGTGTAACTAATTTCCGATAAATATAATCAAATAGAGAATAAACATCTTATTTTAAATATAAAAAAGTAAAATATATATAGGATAATCATTGAGTTCTAACAAAATACTTAATTATTATCTTTATAAAACAATATATTATTAAACCAAAAATAAAAAAATGAATTAAAAAAAATACATAAAAAAGGAGAAATTTTAAATAGTTAGTCTTTTATGATATCTTCATATTTATATTTTATTTAAAAATAAAACATTATTGATTTTTGAAAACTATATAAAACCGTATTATAACATCGATTAAGACAAAAAAATCGAAACAAAAAAATCGAGATGTATCTCGATGTATTGTGCGAGTACCCTTTTAGTATAAAAAAATACATACAAAACTTTATTTGGAATGAACTAGAAGGAAGCAAGCCATTCAATAAAGTCGCGCAACGAACAAAACAACCGTTTAATGGCAGTGAACAATAAATATAAAGTTTACGTGTTGATAACGTGTTAAAAGGAAAACAAATAAAACAAAAGTGAAATAAAAAAAATGAAATATGTGAATCTCATAATCATAACCCTTCATATAAAGACGAGTTACAAGTAAATAACTACAAATGATATCAATTATAATCTATTTCAAATATGTTTATTTATATTCCTATCATTTTTTAGATGATTGCACGTTTTTCCTAAACCAAAAATAATGTATTTTCTTCGATTTAAACTACAAATAATGTTTTTTTCTTCGAAATAAAAAATACCTGTGGTCATTATTAAAATGGCTAATTTTCTGGTACGGATGGAGTTCCATCTGATAGGCTAGAGAAGACCATTGCTGCGTTACCTCCTTTCACAAGAATGGAGAACGATCGAATCATGATAAACCCTAAACCCCACTGATTTCAGTCCTCATTTCGTACTATAAAAATGTCATTCGCTCTGCATCTCTCCTTTCCAAATTTGAATTCTTATAGGACGCACAAGCTTATTACTCCCACTAGGCTGCACGGCGTTCAATTTATATGCAACTTTTCGTTGAAGCAAACTAATTTTTCCTCTGAAGATGATACAGAGCGTATAAGGTATTGCTAAGACTTTGATGCAGTAATAGTTTCATCATTTATGTTAATGAGTTAATTTAGCATTTTCATTTCGTCATTTGGTGTGCTTATAGGTCAACTATGTTAATAAACCTAGAGTAGAGTAAGATAGAGGATGATAACATACTCGAATACTTGTTTCTTTTTTCCTACACCAACAGGTTATAAGAATGTGCATGTGTTTTTTGGCATTCTTTTTCTACAAAAAACGGTAATAAGACTGTGCGACTGTATGTTATCTTGACACACAGTCCATTTGGGGAATGAGGTATAACTATATACTAACCCGGTTTGTATTAAATTTAAAAATTTGATACATTTTAACAATGTTTACAGAAACAAACGCCAGGAAGAAGAACCTTTTTGTCCAAATTAAAGTTCCATTAACATGATGTTGCAATGCTATCCG